AAAAAAAAAAAAAAAAAAAAAAAAAAAGAAGAAAAAGAAATTTAGAATAACAAGACGAAAGGTCACATTAATAAGCGACGTGTTTTTCAATCACTGAAATTCTAGAAACCGTTCTACCAGCTGCACAACTAGCTTCTGAACATTCACGAGTGTTCTTTGATTAGTACCGATCAAAGTCTTTCCTTGAAACTTAACTTTTCTTGACAGCCGGTGAAGAGCTAAGCGAAAAAACAACAAAAGACAATACAATTAAGAAGATTGAAATATTGAGGGAAATAAAAGAACACGGATGAACAGGGCGTTATGCAGCTAAAGCACGACTTACAAGCGACAGTAGCTGGATACAGCTGCAATTATGAAACCAGAAGAAGAAGAGAAAAGAAACTGTGAAGTCATCATCATTACCAAGTCTGATTGAAAAAAGCTAATTTTAAGCAAATTGATTATCTAAAAAATGTCTGAAGCGCTTAAGATTACTGTTTTTCAGAAGTCAGTAATTGAAACTTAATCGTATACATCGGAATAAGCATTTCTAATTTTTTGATCATCTTATTAGAGTAATCAAAAAAAAATTATTTTTTTACTTTTTAAAACTAATTGGCTACTTCTCGTCTTAAACGATGTGTTAAAAATTGTCATTGAACTGCTGGTTTGAAGATTTTACTTTTTTTTCTATAGTTACACAGAAATTTTGAAATTTTTATACTGTTTGCTGAAAACCTAAAAAGTATAGTCTTAGGAGAGTGCAACAAGGAAGAATAATTTGCGCTTTTGCACTTTGACAGCTTTTGGCTACTAACTCTGCTTTTATTTCTAGATCTTTTTTTCTGTAAATTTGGCAAAGTACACATTATGCCAATATTAAACAGAAAATTTTGATCGTTCGCATATAGTATACCTCAAAGTTTGGTAAATGTTAAGCTGAAAACGGTAACCCTAGTTCTGTTTTATGGTTTTCAAAAACTAAAAAATACTTCTTTGTTTTCAGAACAATCCCTGTTTTCTTGGTTGATTGTGAGGCCTTTGCTAGGGGAGTCATCGAATGCGTGTTTGAAGCGACAGAAGCTGTTTACTTTTGTGAATACAAAACAAAAATGGTTTTAGCTTCGTCATACGATTTTGACTAAAATGTTCGTTATTGTATGTTGCTTATTTTTACGGTCTTGGTTTGAATATTACAAGAAAACTTACGGCTTCGATAATAACTTGCATAAAATAGCTTGTTTTGAATGTAGATTTTGAATGTAGAAAGTGTAATCTGAATTTCATGCACAAAAAATAAATCGCTATAATACGCTCACGTTTGAAAACGACTTCAGCTTTATTCCCCACTAAAATTCAAGCCACCTTGAGGTATCTGTTTTGCAGCACAAAGTGCAGCAGTCCCTCCTAGAAGAGGGATCAAGAGAAATTTTTTCGCACACTTGCTTTTTAGTGTTTCAGAAAGCCGTTGTAATTTGTAAGAAAATTGTGCTGTCTATATTACCTACACTAAATATTTGTCGTGTAATTTGCTGTGTACAATGTTAGAGTACAATATTGTACCGTACATTAATTACGATAAAAGCCCTTAATCTTGTAATATAATTAATAAAAGAATCTGTTGTACAAAGCGGCGCTTTATAATCTTTAATGCGTTACGTCACTTATGACAGTGGCTTGAAAATGCTGAGAAAATAGATCTGTACTGCAAAAATTCATTTATTTGAAAACTTACAAATGAAAAAAACTTTCATGATCACAGGCTTTAAAATTAGCAATTTAGGTATTTCTGTAACACTTCCTTTTCTTGGCTCACATTATTAAAATTCTTCGTCTACAAAGGTTTCGCTTTCGTAATCAGGCTGAGGTTCTTCATGGTCGCCAAAAGCAAGTACAGCTTCATCGTTGCATTTGCAGCTTAAACAAGCATCTTCATCAGATTTGTCATATTCCTTTAACAAGATCCTTATATGATCTTTTCATCCAAATTAACATTCAAAATCTAGTGGAGCAGTTACCTTCAAACAAATATGACAAATTTACTTTTTTGATCTAACTAGTTTTTAAAGCAATAAAAAGTGATAGTCTCTCTTTATTACTGAAAAGTTGCGTTTTCTTCCTCGTATTCTTTACTTGACACATCATTCCAGGCATTTTTAGGAAAGAATCTGTTAAAGAAAAGCAGTATCATAATTTTTAATAGGTTGTGTAAGAACTTTTTCCGCCAAAAACAGATGCTTGAAAAGCTGTTCCTTGCAAAGACGTTCTACTGGTCCTGTTATTCATTGGTTCGTGAGCTGCATCCTTATGTTTGGTGTAAAGAAATTTACGCTAAAATACTCAACAAGTAAATTTAACACAGCTAAAGAAGAAGGCGAAGATGCATTGTCGATTAGAAGCAGTAGTTCGCCTTTTCCACCAATAAGGTTCTGTTGCTTTATCAATTTTAACAGAAGAACTGTTTATAATTTTTTTATTTTGTCTCTAATCAAATTCAGTGCATCTTAATACTGTGCATTATCATAGTTTTTATTTTATAATTTTTCTAGAGTTTATTGAAAGCAGATTTTACTCTCCAGTTTACAATTCTGAGTGGGCTTATCCTAACAGTTTGGTATACACGCACCAAGTTTTGGTAGCTTATTTTTTCTGTTATCAAGTTTATTTGTTTCCCTGCTGCAGTATTTAAACTGACCGAAAACTCTTGAATTTGCAGTCAGCTTATTTGAAAAGGAATTATGCTCTTATTACGCAGTATTCTTACAAATGCACTTTTTTTTGGCTTTTTGCGGTGCCTTTCCATAAACAGGTGCATTGGGCTCGTCAGAGCCTTTTATCGTCTATGTGTATTACGCCTGGCGGAGCTGCTTGTGTAAAGACCCTCTCATAACAAGCACTGCTGCTGGAAGCTAGCAAAAATTGCTTTAATATCAAACCTATCTAGTAAAATTCTCAATTTCAGCACAGTTAGTGATTAAAAATTCAACGTCATTTTCATCACTCTATTTTAAAGTTGCGCAAAATTTTAATTCTTCTGGGGTTCATTTTAGATAAATAATGGTTTTGCAAAGATTTTTTTTTGCTGTAAATTGTCTTAGTAAGCTCAAAAAGGAACAAACGATAAAGATGAGCAAATTTATGCAACAAAAGTGAGCAGAAATTGTCAGAAAGTATTCCAGCTACCCCATTAATACTATTCCTTGACCGAGGACCTGAAAGAAGTCGGCTACATGTATTGCTAAAAAAAAATTTCTGAAGCGACCTTTGCTAAATACATGTCTAGAAACGAACAAACGTTTTTTGAGAGATCAGATAACCCTTAGCATTTTCTGCTATGGTAAGAACACGATTACAGTTCGTGGTTAAAAATTTTTCCTTATCTAATCAACGATTACCTGCACTAAAAAATTTGACTCTATTGTAAGACTTGAACAATTTTAATCGGTTTTTAGAAAAATTTTTTGTTGTATTCTACCAACGATATGTTTTTTTTCATAACAAATATTTTATTATTCAGAGAGCAACAATTTACGTACAATAGAAGACTAGCTTTAACAAAGTGACAAAGAAGTGAACAATTAACAGCATTATCAAAATTCTTTGAAACATTCAAACGCCTGTAACTTATCTACTAAATATACAAAAAAGCACAGAAATACAACAAACAGCAAAGCAAGATCACATATAAGTTTAATTACGAAGTATGACAAAAACTCGGTGTCAGCACAAAGAAACTTTTTTTTAAGTCTAAACCCTGTCTACCGCATTTAAACTAAATGCCGTTGAGGTTGTTAAATAGTTAAAGCAACAAATTAAAAAAGAAATTTAAAAACTGTTTGGCAATTAACTGAAAATACTGGGTGATAGAATCAAAGATACACCTTTACCAGTTGAGTTGATAAGAGGGGAGAATGCATGAGGACTCATGAATAGTGTTGCAATGTAGAGAGGGGAAAAGAAACTTGGCGATAATGCAAATGGACTACCTGCAATAACTGTCACTGCACCCGGGGAAAAAACATTTGGACTGAGACAAAATGGACTCAAAATAGACGGCACTAAAACGTTTGGAGCCAATATATTTGGAGATAAAACGTTTGGAGATAAAACAAAGGGTACAAGTACTGCGGGAGTTAAGATGAGAGGATCAAAAGCAAGTGGTGATAGAATAACGGTTGATAACACTACAGGGGAAAGAATTACAGGGCAAAATAGACGTGGTGCTAGAATGACTGCCACAAATACCCATGGTGATAAGATGACTGGGCCAAAAATAGCTGGGGAAAATACTGCGGCTGTGAAAAGTATAGGAGAGAGAATGAAGGGCTGAGAAGTTCCTGCTGGATCGAAAACAATCCACTGAAATAAAACCGGGCTAAGAACGACTTGACGTTTGCTACGGGTATGCGTTGTTTTTCCAAGATCTCTCAGATTCGAAAGCACGCGTTCGTGTATCTCGTTGGGGGTCATTGATTTAAACTGAGCGAGACTTTTATCATTTCTGTATGGTGAATTGCTACCGTAGAGAAATTCTAGCTGATTTTTATCCAAGACTGAGTATCCTATGTCATTGAAGTCATCGATCTAAAATTTTGAAACACGGTAAATTTTTATGGTAGAGGTACCAATTTCTCATAAGTCTGCTGAGGAAAACAGAAAGCTGTATAAGAGTCAAGATTTGTTTAAAATACTTTGGTTTGACGTTACAGAAATTGATATTACGTCAAGAGCAAATTTGCTTCAAAACTCACTTGATTTTTATTCAGCATCTTCTGAAGATTTTCAAACACCTCAACTCTACGCACAGCTTGTGGGCCTCCAATTTCACTAGCGTTTTCTTTAGTCATGTACATGGGTTGCCCATCAATACCACGTGGAAATTTGTCAAATGGTACTGGCGAAAAGTCGTCTTCTTTCTCCTTAAAATAATTATTTAATCGTTACTAATGTTAACGTAAGAAACCTTGAACGTAAAAAACCTTGAATAATACAAACGAAATCTCGCGTCAAGACTATTTAGCTCAGCTTTCAGCTGTTGTTGAAATACATTGACAGCAACGTTTTTACTTGCCAATTTTTTTTTCTCTGTAGCTAGATTTCTACTTTATGAAAGTCTTGAGAAAACGGTAAAAACTTGGGTAAGTCAGTTCTTCAATAAACTTTTATTAAAAAACTGAGAACTAACATTTAGTTTTGCTAAAGCGTCTGTGACACCTGAAGCTTCCAAAATGAAGTTTAGCCATTGCTTGTGGTCGGAGCTGTTCATCGAGTTTATCAAATTTGGCAAACTCATCAATTTTTCCAAACCTGTACCTTCTCCATGCAAACTGAATAATGATGGAGAGAGCATGCTTAACTGAAAATATAAATTTTATACAAAGAGACCAGTATGATGATAAGGTCATCTTTGGTATCCTCTGTAGTTGTTAAAGTATGTAAAAAAAATTCTTTTAATTTTAGTAATATTGTAAAACTGCTAACCGCATCACTGTCGTCTTGCTCGGGAACGACAGACAAAAAACGAGGAGAAGCGAAATTGAGCCTTTTTTTCTCCATCAAATGCTTGGTTTTGTTATTACTAGACAACACCGAGGTAATTTTAACAGATTCTGTCAAAATTCCCATAACTTGCTTCAAAACTTTAGAGTCATAATCGTTGCCAGCTTTAAACTGGTCTACAATTTCTTCTGGCATATCGAATTCCTTTATAAGTTCCTGTTCTGCCTAAAATTATTGCTATCTAAATGTTTCTTCATTTGTCATAAAATTTTTGTAGTTTAAAAAAAAAATTTAGCTTCAAATTTAAGCAACTGTAAGAAACATATTTATTGCTTAACTTTTCTAAAATAAATAAATTTATTAATTGAAACCTTTGATAGTCTGTATTTTTTTTGTATTTGTGCAGCACCATATTTGGCAAATTGAAATTTCTTTTTTAATGCTTTTCGAACAGCTTCCTTCTTTCTTTTTTTCTCCTGCAGTTGCCGAAGGTTGGTGTTTACCTCATCCCACCTAGAAAAATATTTTCTTTTGTTTGAAAATTTTTTTAAATCTCTTTTAACAACAAAATTTCAATCTACTTAGGCTTTACTTACTTTTTATTGTCTTTGCCTTTCAAAGCTGTTATACTGTTAGAGAAGTACTTGCCAAGTATGCCAAATGGAGTCATAGTTTCATATTCTGATTGTAATTTGTAAGTGTTAGCTCGAATTACATCTCTTTTAGAACGAAACTGAAATTTTTCTTTAGCTTCTATTCCAGTCGGATGATAAATTTTAATAGCAGAGTTTTTGTTGTACACTGTATTATTGTCGAAGGTGAAAACAGAGTTGAACATCTTCAGTCTATCACCTGAAAAAAAAAAAAAAAAGTCAATTTTACAAACTTGTAAAATACTGCTAACGTTTTAATTTTTATAAAGCTGAAAACATTGTTAGTGCCTAATTTATTAAAAAACATATTTTGAAACTTTATGATAAGCAAAATTCTTAAAATGATTGTTAGTTGATTTACCTCTTGTAGACGTTTTTCTCTTTTTTGCTTCGTCAATTACAGCAAAAACACATTGAGACTGATCGTGAATTGTTTCAGAAGTTTTGGAACATCTGAATAGCTTAGTGCGATAATATTCGTTCATTGTTTTAGACCTGCAGACAAAAAAGGTGTAAACAGCACATATTCAGACTAAGTGTGTTTAAATTTTTTGCCACTATAGCGCCTATCTTTTTCTACAATTAATACAAAAATTATTTTCAAATTTCTTTGTAAAATTACTGCTATATCCAAAAAAAAATTATTATTTAGTCGAGAAAATAGGTTATAGTATACTAAATTTAGCATACAGTACAGTAAATGTTTACTGTTTTTGTGCAATAGCAGACAATGTGCAATTTTGTGCAATGTGCAATTCTTTGTAAAATTACTGCTATATCCAAAAAAAAATTATTATTTAGTCGAGAAAATAGGTTATAGTATACTAAATTTAGCATACAGTACAGTAAATGTTTACTGTTTTTGTGCAATAGCAGACATAAGACTGCTGATTCCTTGGATGGCCCATCTATGATACATATCATATCCAGCTTCTGTTGAAATTGGTATATTTATTTTTTTACCATCATAATATTTAGCACCTGGCATATTCTCTCTGGTAATAATTTGCTGTTTTGCTAGAATTTTTTCCACAGAACATACATAGAAAATTATGCCTAAAAAAATTGAAACAAATAAAATTATTGTAGTTTTATTCTAATCTAATATAATTCTTCAATAATTTATTTTTGTGTAATCATTTGAAACAAGAGTATATATACAATTATTAAGATCTAACAACAAATTTTTATGTGTAATTCTTTAATTCAAAACTGATG